TTCACTCCAAGGAAGAAGTTTTGGGTATTCATACGGTACTAGTTCAACTCGTGAATATTGATTATTGTTTTTCTAGAAATATCCCAGCAGAAACCACACAATCCCTTGAAAATACTTGGATACTTACAAGGTGAAGCTCATTTTAGCAGCCCAGCCAATTCACAAATTCCATGGTGGTCATTTTAGGCAGGGAGGTGGAAAGGGCAAAAATTTCAGGGAGGAGAAGATGGGCAGAGAAGGTCAATGAGCCAAGGGTCTGGGGCTCTTCTCTCCATTCTTAAGCCACACGGACTCCACACACAGAGCTTTCAGATGGGGAACACGGGGAGCCCCCTGGAGGGAAAGACAGTCATCTCTAGAGCTCTGAACTCATGGTTTAAAAACAAAACAAAACAAAAAAAACACCAGCAGGCAGCTGTGGCAGTTACCCTTAGAAGAGGAGGCTGGACTTGTGCGCTCAGATCAAAACATGCTCATGACTCATTGGAGGGCCTTTCTATGGGGGACTAGGCTAGGTTAGGTTGCTCTGCCTATGACTCTGTCCCAAGGTTACCAGAACAATGATGTCTTGGCAGTAGGCTCCTGGCCCCATGTGGACAGTTATCTAGGGCCCTAGGGAAGAGAGAAGAACAGAAGAACACCTCTCAGAAATGGAGATAGTAGGAATGGATCCAGAGTGTCCCATGATTACTGTTAGCTATATGGCCTTGGGCAAGTGACGTCACCTGTGTTGCGCCTTTGTGAAGGCAGTATCAGCAATAATGTGGGCCTTTTGTGTGTGTGTGTGTGTGTGTGTGTGTGTGTGTGTGTCAGAGAGAGAGAGAGAGAGAGAGAGAGAGGTCATTAGTCAGATGACACACGTTGTAGAGGGAGTAATCTCAGCCCAGTGTCCAGCTCATAGAAAATGCTGGTTACCTGGTGGATGACTTCACATTGAATCACTCCAAGTTTCCACCCAGAGTTTCTCCTCTTGACAAAGCCAGGAAGCCCTTGGTGACCACTGGGAGCTGCCACCTTCTCTCAGAGGTATCCCCTTGGCATATGCTTCTGAGTCTTCTGGGCCCCATCTGCATCTTTGCTACATGACCCTACGGCCCATATCTAGTGTGTCCCTACCTTGTCAGGAGCAAGGTCTCTCAGTTCAAAGCACTCTAGAACACAGGAGGTGTGACAAGCAGACAGGCCTAAAGCTGCTTGGGACCTGCTAGTAGGGAAAACAGCATTTCAGCTCAATGGCCCACTGGGGCTTTCTCAACCACCCATCCTAACCAACTTGAGTTACTTGCTAAGTTCCTGTTTCACAAAGAAACAAGGAAGTGAAGAGATGGGCTGGCCTCAGAGCAAGGGCTGGCTGGGTCAGGGTTGGGGAGCACCTCCCACTCCCAACTGTGATGAGCCTTGTGGGGAGGGAAATAGTTATTACTGCATCTCTCATATTTATTTTTTTCAGCTTTAATTGAGTTTATTGGAACATTTTAGAGATACAGTACTGTTACATTCATTGTTGGGATCTTGTACCTCTACATGACAGGTCTTGGTTCTCATTTTTTCCATTTGCCCCTGCCCTCCCTTCACCCCCTCCTCCCCTCCCCATCTACAAACACTTTATTTCCATCTTTTCATTATCTCACATTTTTTTCTTTTCCCTTATTACCCTTCCCCTACCCATCCCACCTTCCCTACACCTTTAGTCCCTTTCTTCCCATTTCACAATGTCAGTAATCTTATTAGGATCTTCTGTAGTTTTGAAGTTTATTCACACCAGAGAAACTATTCGGTATTTACACATGTGTGCCTTATTTATTTCACTTAGGAGTATATCTTCAATTTGTATCCATTTTCCTATGAATGAATCTATTTTCTTGTTCTTTATGGCTGAGTAATATTCCATTTTATAGAAAAACCACATTCATCTTTCATATTTCTATTTTTCTAGCACCAAGAGTGTCCAACTATTTATTTGAGGAAGTTCCCAGTGAGTTGGTAAAGTGCACTGTTGACAGGGGTTAGCTAGGTGAAGAATAGCCAGCCCAGCCTTCTTCTGAAGCCCCAGCTCTCGAACAGCTGGAGCCAGCTGGTTGGCAAATGAACAAGGACTGATTTATTTATCATTTTTTAAATGAGCTATTTAAACTATTTGTGTATATGTGCAAGTAACTGTCATCTTGCCCATTTTCTTTCCTATTCCAGAAAGGATCTGAAACATCAAGAAATGGAGCACAATACCACTGTTACTGTGATTGTCACAGATATGTACTCTCAAACAGGTCTCCCTGGGTCTTAGTCTGTTCACTAGAGACAGTACAGGAGTGACAGAGATGCACACTGAAAGTGACAGGGGGGCTAGGACAGACCCAAATTAGGATCCCTGCTGTGTCTCCAAAGAGCTGTGTGACCTTGAGCAAGGCTCTTCCTCTTTCTGGGCTGCTGTACATTGAAGGGATTGAACTAGATGTTTGCTTGGTCATGCAGCTCCTATTTAGAATGAGATACGCTATTCATGGGGATTGGCACAAAATGAAAATGTGGGGTCCTTTAAAAAATATTAAGAATTACAAGACATGTGATAGCACCCTCCTCTTCCCAGCAGAAGTCCCTTAGTGACTGCACATGTCATACCCCTGAAGCTGGCCCTCCGACTACTTCAGGTACACTCTTTCAGGAAGCCCATAAGGGCTACTTTTTGCTGGAGCTCTGCTTTTCATTATATCCCTTGGGGTACTTCTGAGGAACCTCAAGATCTAGGCAGCCTAGTTGGGGGAAAAAACCCTACAAATTAGATGCTTGCTCCAAAACATTTTTAGTTTTGGCCATTTATATGTAAAAGTGGGGTCCTGAACCTTTTCCTTATCCACCTCCAAAGGTGAAGCAAGAGTTGAACTTGTGCTGTGCAAATAACCACATTATCATCTCTTGTCTGTGTCGTTTCCTGGTTTAGAGAATGCTGCCACATCCGGGTCTTGTGGGCTTCTCTCCATAACCTCATCAGGAAGTCAGTATGGGTAATTTAGAGAAGGGATAACTGAAGACCAGAGAAGGGAAGTGACTCACCTAAGGCCACACAACTAGTACAACTAGGACCAGAACCCCAGGATGCTAACTCTTGGGCAAACAGGCTTTTCCATATGGCCTGCTCTGTGACTGCAATGAGCAGGTGAGGAGAGGTTTGGTAAGTTCCATCCTCTAGCATAAAATCAAATGACCAGAACTCAAGGGGTGGGAAGACATATTCAATTCCTAGTGGTGTCACACGAGCCACCACATAATTCAGTTCTGCTGTGTGTGACTTGAATGTCTCCCTGCCTGACTCAGAGTGAAGGCTCCAAAGCAGGCACAGTCAGTGCTGCTCTCTGGACCCCACGAAAGGCAGAGCTGGGTTGGCTGCAGCCTCTCCTGCAGCCCTACTTCCAGTGCTGTGGTTCTGAATCCCTAGGTGGCAGGCTGGTGAGGTGGCTAAGTAGCGAGGAGATTAGGAGCCAGCATCAGGGACAGCCTGGGCAGGCAGTCCCTGGGGAAACAGTATTGTGTGTACTCTCTGCTCCCCAGCTGTGTGGTCCTGGTCTGGCCTCTGTTTTCTCATTTGGAAAAAGTGGGAGAGCCACAGCACTTGCTCTGTTTTGGAGAGAAAGGATTTGGGAGCCTTTTGACTGGTTTGAATCCCATTTTTTTCATTTACTTGATGAAAACAGTCACTTTGAACAAGCTGGTTAATCTCTAGGGGTCTCACTCAGTTCCCTCACTTGTAAAATGGGAAAAATACGAGTCTTTTCTCGTAGGTAGTGAGGCTAAAATGGGAAAGTGTGTGTAAAACTTTCTGCATAATGGTATATACCAAAGGGTAATGGTAGCAATGATGATGATCATGATGACCACAATGATTTTAATTTTATTGGATGTAGCTGTCTGTGGGGTGAGAGGTGAGAGAAGAAATGACTTAGCAAACCAAAGGCCTGATGCTGGCTCTCAGTGAGGGTGGGTCAGGGCTGGATCTTAGGGATGCAAGCTTTGGTGTTGGTAACTGTCACAGGCCATCCTCACGCTGAACAAACTGAGCCTTTTGGTCCCAGGCAGAGAGACTTCTCAGCCTGATGCCTTTGCCCAGCACCCTTCCCCTACAGCCTTGCTCTCCCCACTCCTGCTATATTCTGTTGTGCCAAATATGCTGGCTCCAACTTTTCCAGCCCATGGACTACGTTTGACAAGTTCCCCAGCACCAGGATCTCCTCTGTTCCCTCCACAAGGTTACACCATCTTGAGCACAGGCTGGAGGCGCTGGCGGGGAGTGGGGCACGTGCACATGTGCACAGCTACAGGTACACACAATCATGCGCATGCTCACGGGCACATTCTCAAGCCCATGTGCTCCCCCACTGAGCTGCCAAGAGCCTCACATATCCGCCCCCACCATAGCCTCTCTTCCTCCCCCGCCACAAAAGCCACAGGTAACAACAGACTCCAGCAACAGGGCAGACACAATGCAAAACCAGAGGCAGGAGACTTTGCAAGACCGTTTTAAGCATCTAGCAGGATGTGAGCCCAGGTGGCTAACGGCAGGCAGGCACTTAATCAGGCAGCCTGATTAAGGCTGGTGAAAACTCTTCTCACCCCAACAGTGGACTCAGAGTATGAGGACGAGGCTGGGGGCAGGTTAAGAAGTTCTGCATAGTGCTGGAGGGCAGGGGGGCTAGACTGCCTGCCCATCTGGCCCTGCCACCTCTCAATCTCGTGCTGTGTGGCCTGGGGCAGGACTCCCCTTCCGTCTGAAGCTCAGTTTCCCTGTCTGTAAAATGGGGAAACCAGACTGCCCACACAGGGTCAAGGGTCATCCAAGCATGTGGGAGGATTTAATAGCATTGTCTGTGGCTGCAATTTCAAAAGTTAAAGGCTCTCCCGGAATGCTGGGGAAGTCTGGGATAGTGACCGTGTGCACATGCTTAGGCTGTTCCTCAATCTCTGGTAGGGCCACGTTCCCTTTTACCCATAGCCAAGTTCCTGCATCTAAATGCCCTATGCTGTCACTTGGTGTGGAGTGTACTCAGGGTTTAGGAGTGATGGGCTCACACGTGGGTGCGTGCTCATCGCTGGTCTCTGGCTGCAGGCTCTCTGTTTTACTGGTCTGTCCTCTCCAGTCCTAGGCTGGGAGTTTGCAACTAGGGGATGCAGCCACCCTTGCTTCCCCTTCCTCTACAGGTACAGCTGGCAAGTGGGAGGGAGCCTTGTCTTTTCAGCCTCAGGGATTGTAGCCAGGAGGCCATTGTAGGACTGAGGGCAGGTGGGTTAGCCAGAGGCAGCCTACAGAGTGGGAGAGCTCTGGAGCTCTCCAGCAGGTGGTGACAGGGGAGTGTTCTCCCTGGGCCACGGAGTCCCTGGGGTTAGGGGCATTGTCTTTTATTTGTGGGGAGGGACAGCAGCTGTATAGCAAGCTCTACCCACTAGAGGAAGGGACTGGTTGGCTCCACTATCCCAGGTCTGGGTCTGGGAATCCAGGGTGAGGCATATAGTTGCTGAGGAGGGTATGTGCTGCTTGGGGACTGGTCTAGAGGAAGCTGAGGGCAATGGTTTCCAGTGTTGGGCTGGCAGGGGCTCTTGGGGCATGCATGTTTCAGGCAGAGGGGAGCTGAGTAAGTGAGTCGTACATCCATGTGGTGAGTTAGCAGGGAATCAGGAGCCTCTAGTTACTCCAGCTGAGGATGGCAAGAGTAGAGGCCACCAGCACAGAGGCCAAAGAGGCTGTATGTGGTGCCCGGGCAGACAGGGGCTCTGTGTGCCGCTGTAGCCACTCAAACTCCTCAAGCAACTGGCGTTGTTGGAGCTCCGGGCCCACCTTCTCTCGGATGACCTGGTAGTATTGATTCAGGTATTGGAGCTGCAAAGGAAGAAGGTTTGAGCTGACTGGAGGTAAGAGGTTGGTGCCAGTTTCTCCTGTGAGGTATTCGTTCCAGCTGCCCACCTTGGGTACCCAGCCAGTATCAGGCCTCAGGTATTCTCTGGGTTTTAGTGATGGCTAGGGAGGGTGGGGTGGATGGATTTCAGGCTTGGGAATGAGAATAAGTGTGTGGGGGGGGCAGCCCCATTTCACAAAAGAGGAGACTGAAGCCCAGAGAGGAGAAAGAAGGGATAGTTTAGTTCTAAGCCTTATAGTGGCAGAGCTCATAGGCCCTGCCTCAGACTCCCCTAGGATTCATTACCTCAGTGTGGGTGGGCTGGTCTGCCTGGACATTTCTAAAAGTTTTGGGGCCTCTAGTGATCTGGAGAGGTATAACCCAGTGTGTGCCTACAGTGCCACCAGGGAGCAGCAGAGGCGGAGTGTGTTGGAGTAGGGGCAGTAGAGGCGGGACTGGCCTAGGTGGGGGAGAAGACTGTCATCCCAAGCTCAAGGAGCACTTACCTGCTCAGGGGACAGCAGGTTGACATCAATGAGGTTCCGGTCATAGGGCACTAAGGACACCACTTCAAAGGTCAAGTAGGACCCTGGGTACTGAAAGCCCCCAGGGAAAGTGAGAAAGGGGGAAGAGGAGGAGCTCAATGAGAGGGAACAAGGGAATACTTTGTCCAAAGGCCACGGCCACAAGGAACTTGTCTATCCTGGACACACCACCTAGGCCTGAGCCTTCCAGAGTCCCTTCTCTCAGCCAATCCTTTTGTCTACCGCTCAGCACCCCAGCTTGGAGCTCCCCTCCTGTGCCTGCCATTCTGACTTAGGTCTGTGCTTCTTGCAGCATGTGCATGAACAGTACTGGGGAGCTCACTAAGTATGTAGTCCAGGGCCTTCCTCCCAGACCTACTGGAAGCAGGATCTCGGGGGCAGGGCTGGGAACGCACATTTAAATAACATAAAAGAAAATTAGTATTTTTTTTTGTTCTTTTTTTTGCCAGCGCTGGGGACTTTACCCAGGGGTTTCCACACTGAATACTGAGTATATCCCTTTTTTGTTCGTTCGTTCTTTCTTTCTTTCTTTTTTCTTTCTTTCTTTCTTTCTTTCTTTCTTTCTTTCTTTCTTTCTTTCTCTTTCTTTCTTTCTTTTTCTTTCTTTCTTTCTCCTTTTCTTCTCTCTCTCTCTCTCTCTCTAAGTGCTGGGATTACAGGTATGTACTACCATGCCTGGTTTATTTTATTTCATTTATGGTACTGAGGACTGAGCTCTGGTCCTTAGCACTCAGCTACATACCCAGCCCACTTTTTATTTTTAGATAGGATCTAAGCTGTTAAGTTGCTCAGGCTGGGCTTGAATTTGATATCCTCCTGCCTCAGCCTCCCAAGTAGCTGGAGCTATACATCTATTTATTGATTCATCTATCCATATAGACAAGTAAAATGGAGGGAAAAATTTCATAATTTTCATCTTTCAGAGAGCCCTGCATGTATGTGCTTAGGAAATTTAAACTACACAAAGATATACAGTGAAAATGGAAAGTCCTCACTGCCCAGTTTCTTTCCTGAAAACATTTTAGTAGTGAAATACAGTATTCTATTGGTATGTTGATTTGTATTCCTCGAAAGATGAAAGATGAAAAATGAAGTTGAGCAATTTTGCACATGTGTGCACCATTTGTGTTGATTTGAGTGAATTGCCTCTTTAACACCTTTACCCATTTTTTGCCTTGCCTATTTTAAAATTACTTATTGCTTCATTTATTTATTTATGTATTTATTTATTGAGACAGGGTTTCCTTCTGTAGTTCAGGCCAGCCTTGAACTCACTACATAGTCCAGCCTGGCCTCCAACTTGTGATCCTCCTGTCCCAGCTTCCCAAGTGCTGGGTTTACAGGTACGAACTTTGTTTTTGCCTATGTAAAAGCACATGTTTTGTCACATGTGAAGTTTTTATCATAGATTTTTAAATTTTGTTTGTGGTATTGTTTCCATTTAGACACTTTCTATTAAATTTAGTCAGTTATCAATCTTTTCCTTTGTATCTTCTGAGTTTTGTATAAAAAAGCCCCTTTGCACTCTGGTATTAAAGAAATTCTTGCAGGTTTTCTTCTAGGTGTTTTATGGTTTCATTGTTCACCTTAAAACTTTGGTTGATAGGAGGTTTTATAGTTTTATTATTCAGTTTACTCACTCCCCAAATGATTAGTCATTATTTCTCCTTGCCTATTTATTGGATAATTACTCTCTCCTTATATTGAAACATCACCTTTATTGGAAACTAAATCCCCATGTCATTTATGGGAATTAGAAGGTTTACTTTGGACAAACTATTCTGTACCATTGTTCTGTCTATTTCGTCTCTGGTGTCATCCTGTTTTAGTTATAGTAGCTTGTGTTAAAACCTGATATTCACACATTGCTTTTCTTTTTAAGATGTTTCTTAACTACCCAGCTGTCTTTGAATGTTTATTTTTACAAATAAACATTGCTATCACTTTGTAAAGTTCCAAAAGTATCTGGTTAACATTGAAATTGTGGTTTTCTTGAGTTTATAGAATAATTTAGGGGAAAATGATATCTTCATAATATCGAGGCTTCTTTCTAGAGAACATCACTTACTTAAATCTTTTTTATGTCCCTTAGCAGAGGGTTTCTCCATGTGAGTCTTCTAAAGTTTATGTCTAGGAATTTCATCATATGGGTTGCTATAATAGCAAATCTTTATTTCTAACAGGCTTCTCTGGTGATTATTATGTGCACTGAGAACCAATGATTCAGCTCAGGGATACGGATTCACTTGGTTTGGAGTGAGGCCTGGCATTGACATTTAAAAAACAAGATTTCCAGATTTTTCTAACCTGTGGTTTGAGAAGGTGATTTATGGGATTCCTATGGCACTAGGAAAGACCCCAAATAAAGTCACCTTCACATACATATTCAAATGCCCCCTTTCTTCAGCCTCCCTCACCCCCCATGCAACCCAAAGTGACTGCCACACTGTCCACACCTCCAGCCCAACTCGGTGTCACTGTACCTTGGTCTTTGCTTCCACCACAAGGGCCACATCTTCAATACGGATCCCAAATTCTCCATCCTGATAGTAGCCAGGTTCTGGGAGACACAGAGTTGCTAACAGCTTTAACCAGAGGGTACCCATGTCCAGGCATCCTATACCAGTCAACAAGTGGCTGGAGGGCTAGGCTGCCTAGCTGCTTTCCAGCCATTGACTCTGGCCGCCCCATAGCCTGTTAGATGCTCATTGGCTAAGCAGAGGTAACTGTTTAGCCTCAGAAGTGGCCCCCACCATGATTTTCCTCCCTTGTCACACAGCAGGGCAGAGTAAAGAGTCCACTGGAGTTCTGCAGGTATTGCCGTCTCCCTGAGTGCAGTTGTCTTGTTACACATGCATTTGACTGGCAACTCTGGAGTCTGGATATACATCTTGGAATCAACTCCCAAGAATAAAAGAAGGGTATGGGCTGAGGGAGATTGGGGTAAGGTTGGGACAAGCCAGTTGTGGCTAAGGGTAGGGATAGAAGCAGGGAAGTGAAGAGGTAAAGCAGTAGAGCCCAGGGCTGGCTCTGTCCTTGTGCCTGGAATGCTCTCTGAAGGTGGACACATCTAAGACTGCCATCCCCAGCTAGCCTGGCTCTGGGATGGAGTACTGTGGTGGAGGGGCTCAAGAGCCATACCGATGGAAGTGAACATGCCCTTGGCCATAGCAATGTTTTTGGTCTGGAATCCCACTGGCCCTGGAAAGGAAGACACGGGTACAGTGTCAGCTCTCCTGTCCTCACCAGCTTGAAAGCAAGCAGGTTCTGGGGAAGAGCAGGTAACTTGGGACTCATGGGTATCCCTAGAACTACTTGTTCACCACGTCATTTGCCTGGAGCTGGCACACATCAGACTGGCTCCTGAGTTTGTGTCTCTGGGGTCTACCTCAGTCAGCCAGTAGGCCTTTGTCCTTTCTCGGTGTCCTTCTGTATGCCAACAGGTAACAGGATTGGCCAGCTCCTGGCATTCCTCACTTTCTCTGTAGAGCATCCCCTCCCACCAGCTGGGGGATCTTGGGTGGGTCAGGGCATCTCTGTGGATCTTGGTAATTTCCATATCTGTGAAATGCTCTCTTTTGGGGGGCAGGGGGTGTTACACAAGGAGGGACTCTGGGGCGGGGCTGAGATACTTACACTCATGCACACACAGGAAGTTGCCAATGCCATGGCCTGTTCCATGGCCATAATTGAGCCCAACATCCCACAAGGCTTTGCGGGCAAAAGTTTCTAGCACATGCCCTGGAAGGGAAAAGAGATCATTCCTGGTCAGTTGGCTGGATTCAAGATTAACCACTTTGCCCCTTCCTGCTCAACCACCAAGGTGGTACCAGAGGAGAGGGGCTCCTGAGAGGCAGGTAAGTTTACAGTGACACAGAGACTTTGGGTTGGGATGGAGAGCAGCTCACAGCTGAAGCCAGCCCAGACCCTCATTATCTCCAGCACACGGCTGTACACTGTACCCATTATCTGGACTGACAACTCTACTGTGTCAAGGCATAGCACTTTGATACCTACTTCCTCCGGGAATCTTCCTATGACTGTTGCAACCCACACTGATCTCCTCCATCCCCGAGCAATGACAATTGATTAGGAGGCAGGAGACCAGGGGGTTCAGGGCCTGATTATCCCACTGATTTTCTGTATGACTTTAGGCAGCCCTTTTCTCTCTCTAGGCTAGATTTTCTCACCTATATGGGGGTGGGATGAGGTTGTAATCCCTGTTGCACCAACCTCCCAGGGTGGCAACCTGAGTCTCATGTAATGAGGGTCTGAGGTTCTAGGCCCAGCCTGGTCTCCAACACCCACCTGATGTAGCAGCAGGAAAGATGAGCTTGGACAGATCAATGTTTCCCATCAACACGCGGGTGTAGGCCTCCTGATAGAGAGAGGAAGTGATATGGAAGAATCAGGGGAGTATCTGGCTTTGTGGCCTGGGGGCATGTGGGTGTGTGGGGGCCAGGCCTGGGTGTGTATGACAGGGTTTAGGGAGATGTATTCTTGTACGCAGTCACCCAGGTTCTGGATGATGGCCAAAGGAGGCTGAAGGGGATATCTCCAAAGCTGTGTGTGGGTCCGTGTGGTTTCCTTTGGCTGGTCCACAGGGGTCATCGTAATGTGCTTAGGACAGGTGGTGACTGTAGGGGGTGGCAGGCAGACTTCCTGGGCTGCCATCTTTCCCTAACTCTGGGCCAATAACTTTCATCTCTCTGTACCTCAATTTCCTCATCTGTAATGGGATGACAACAGTACCTAGCTCCAAAGGTGGTCAAGAGGGGGAGTGGGTCAATAATGAATGTAATGTAGTAAGTAAATGCTCAAGGGAATTTAGCACTCTTGTCACTGTGATTGTGATGATCCTTCCCCACCTTCCCTCTCTTAGTGTTGGGGGATGTAACCCAGGGCCTCACACATGCTAGGCAAATGCTCTACCACTGAGATACATGCCCAGCCCATCCTTTAGTTTCCTTGAAGCCTGAAATTTCAGTTGGGCCTGATAAATTGGCAGGTCCGTCTTCCTCTATCAGGGCTGATGGTGGCCTCTTCTGGTCACCCCCAGTGCTGATGCTGTTAGTCTCCTTTACCACATACCCACACAGGCTTGTCAACTGTTGCCCAGCAGACTGAGGCAGTAGATCCAGATAGCATTTCCCTTCTGTGTTTCCAGCAGTCAGACTCATAGACGGTTTGCTCAATACGTGAATGCAGCTCCCTGCTCCACCCCTAGTGGCTCCTTAGGGCGGAGAGCAAATCCGAGCCTCTGCCCTGGCTAACCAGACTTGAGCCTTCCTGAACACCTCAAGCTCCTTTGCACACTGAGACTTCGCTGTTCTGTGTTCCTCTGCTTGGGATACCCTTCTTCCCCCTTTCTGCCAAAGACAAGGCCAGACACAAAGCACAGAAGAAATATTGGGGCACTGATGCATCAAAATGTGAGGAGAAACTTGGGCGGAAACCTTCTTGTTGCTCTGAAAGGTTTCTTGCTAGAGTAACTGCTTGGGGGCTCTCTGGGGAGGGCGGACAGGGGAGTGCCAGGCAAAGTGCTTACCTTTTGGAAGGCAGAGGGCGTACCCCAGTGGACTGTTCTGGTGATGTCTGTGGTTCCGTCCCTGGGGAGAAGGGAAACTGACATGTTTGGCCCTGCTGAACTCTTGGGAGGTGGGTAGAGTCTGGGTCAATGGCTTTCTGTGTGTTTTCCACTGAGGTCCCAGCCACACGGCTGGGATCAGGCCAATGGGAGATGAAAGGAAGTAGTTACCCTCCTTAACATCGCATCTTCAGCATCCATGCCTGAAAAGGCTCTGTAGAACTCTGAAGCTGAAAGTCACTATGCTCTCTGCAAATCATGATTCCTCATACATGCGTCTCTCCCATGCTACCCTTTCTGGCTGTCATGTAGCTCTGGTGTCTGTGGGTCAGACTGGCTCTAAAAATAAGGCTTCTTCCAGGCATCCTGGGAAGAAGCAGGGATTATCTCCTTTTTACAGAGGGGAGACTGAGTTTCTGAAACATTACATTATCACAACACTCCCACATTCACACAGTTATTTAGCCCGTAGAGGACACTTTTACAGCTCCCTGGGTAGGATGGCGGAGCAGGGCTCATCATACCCATTCCACAGTTGAGGCAATTGAAGCCTTGAGACTGGGAGACCTGGGCCTCAGTGAAGCCACTCGGGGCAAAGCACTGACTCTCCACACTCCTAGTGAACATGCACTGACCCAGGGATTTGCTGAGTCCCAGGGAGATGAAGCCAGAAGGCAGAAGGTCTGACTCTCAACCTCAAGCTGCAGTAGGATTGGAGCCTGTGATCCCCTCCCAGGTAAGGGGAGGGAGAAATGGTCCTGTGGTCCTGGGGGCTGGGCTCCTCCTTGGGAGTATGTCATGGGTGGGGTGAACTTCTTCAGAAGGAGAGAAGAGGAAGTGAGGTGGCCATTTCCCCAGCCTCACCCTACTCTGAGCATGCCCCAATCCAACAATGCCTCAACAAATTCACTTCTCCTTTACACATCAGCCGTCTGAAGTACACACAGTGCCGAACTGGTGACTTGCAAAGGTTGCCAAGCTGGCACCTGCCACACTGGCTCCCAAGAGCTGCACTAGAAACATGCGAAAAGCCTCTGTCATGGCATAGTCACCATAGCTACAGGAAAGCAGCTGGGAATCGATATGAAACTACTCTTTGCCCCTTCCTCATTCAGCACACCCCCCCTTGCTTCCCACAGTCTACTTGCTTCCTGGATGAGAATGGCACATTTCTGAGGTCAGGTCAGCTAGATCAGCTCTGGTGTGAATGACTGAGTCACACACTTGGAAGGATTAGGGTGAGCCTAATCTGCGTGGCTGTCCTGTCTGAGTGTTTGGGTCGTCCATTGTGCAAGGGAAATAGATCTAAAGGTTTTCTCTCTTACTTGCTGCACCCCTACATGACATGGTCGTTGCACCTGAGCCCTAGGGGGAGATAGGGGCCCCAGAGTATGGAGTAGGCACGGTACTGGTGGTGTGTGCGTTGTGTGAGCGTGTGGGGCTGTGTTTGTGCATCATCCAGGTAGGGCTGTGCAATAATGTGTGGACTTAGAAAACATTTTACTTGGGCAAGGAGAGTCTTTTTGTTATTCTCACAGAAGTGCTGCATGGGAACCCCAGCCATTTGGCTTCTGTGCGCTTCCTGTTGCACATTACCCCCCCACCCCCAGGTGAAAATGAAAAGGATGCTCAGGACCCATCCAGTGCGGGTTTCTCCAGGCTCAGGTGAGCCCATGTCCCAGGAAAGGGAAGCTTTGGCATGCTTTGGCCACCCCAGGATGTCTGAGCTAAGACAGCCAGGCAGGTGCGGTGGGGAGTACATTACCAGTATTGGCCCCCAGAATCCACCAGGTACATCTCCTCTGGGGACAGTTTGTGGTTCAGCTCCTTAGTCGGGCTGAGAACAAGAAAGAATGCTGAGAGGGGAGCAGCCCAACCGTGAACTGGGCTTGTGGGGGGGCGGTCCCCTGAGTGACAGCAGAGGAAAGCCTGACTCCGGGGGGATGGGCTTGCAGGCTCATTACTCTGGGGAAGTCACTGCCGCCCAAAGGTCCCTGGAAGAGTACTTGGCTGCTGCTGTGCCCAGCACACTTTTGATTATCCTGCACTTGGTCAAGCAAGGCCTTGGTCCACAAAGGAGAGAGGAAGGAAAGAGGCCAGAACGTGGGAGCTAGGGGAGTATAGAGACCACCCAGCCTAGTTACTTCCTTTTACACAAGCAGAAGCAGGCCTATGAGGGCAAAGAAGCTTGGATAAGGCCACACATGAGAGCAGGGAGGAGCTAAACCTGGACCTGGATGCTCCATCCTGCAGTCTTTCACTGACTTCCTGCTGTCTTAAAGATCAGAGGGCCCCATGAAGCCAGCACACAGGAAGGGAGGGGACCTTTAGGGCGGGGCTGGAGAGGCAGAGTGGGTAGAGTTGAGGATTAGCTACCCTACCATCTAGCTCTGCTGGGGAGAAGGGGCTGGTGCAAGCCTGCCAAAGGCTTTAGAGATACCAGGAAGCACTGGGGGAGGGAATTCTGGGCTATGCCAGGCCATCCCTTAGCGGGGCATCCAACCTCTTCCTGCCATGCCCGTGTTAGGCTGAGGGATTTGGTCAGCTCTCCCCCAGCCCAATTTCATTAGGCAGGGATGCCGTAGTTTGTTTTCTATGGAGCTAATATCTGGCTAGCCTACATCCTGGGCCTACCATGGCTGGTTTTGGCTGAGCAAACAGGACTTTCTCCATGACTGCTCATGAACTTTAAGAATTACTTTAGATGAATAACTCACAAGAAGCCAAAGACAAGCATCTAATAGCTTCCATGTCTCCCCTCTGCGTCCCTTAGACCCAAGTGTTCACAGAGTCTCAGCCTTTTGACAAAAAATTGCTCAGGTCTTTTCATTCATTTCAATTTCTCAGACCAAGATCCACCCCATCTCACATAAGTTGAGGGCCTCAAACCTTAAATGTAACACACATTATTGCACAGCCCAGAGCATTTCCTATCCCTCCCCATTCCCAGCCCAAGAAAATTTATTCTCCTGAAGTACCTGTAGTGGGCGAGGGCAGCATTCAGGCCACTAGCAGAGATGGTCTGGAAACTGGGTCCGGAAAAGAAGTCTTCTTTGCTGGAGAGTGTGAGGCAAGGAATGGTCAGTTAATGCGCCCAGGGACTAGGCTGTGCCCTGATATCTCACCAGATCAAATGAAGATTATAGATGCCTCCGCTGCAGCCCCACTCCATTTGGCACCTCCAGCCCCACCTCCTGATTCCATTTTCCCAAACCCTGTCCTGTCACAGAGAACTCAAGATGAGAGGATAGACTTAGACACCAATTATTTCCGCTTTATCTCCATTTTACAGATGGCAGTGAAGAAAGCTAGCTCCCTGTATCTGAAATCTACCCGAGCCAGTCATGCACCTCAAACCTACTGTGTGAGGGTGCCTTTGAACACCTATTTGCTACTGGAAATTCTCAAGTGGTCCAATGTAGCCTGGCCAGAGCCAGCTTCCCCCAGGCATGGGTCTGAAGCAGGCACTAGGGGGTGCTGTTGGGTTGTCCCGCTTTCAGTTTTCAGCGGGCCTGGGGAATGTCATCCAACACCCCGTTGCTAGCTCCCAGACCACCCAAGAACCTGTAGGTCTGACTTCCAGATACAAGGAGGATCTTCCTTCTTCCTACCTAGGAGAACAATTACCCTCCTTGCCCTACCCCCATACTGAAAGAGAGTTAGTCCCTCACCCTCGTAACTGGTCCATGAACTCTGCCCCTGAGAACTCATCCACTGTGCCTCTGGGCACGTTTTTCTCCAGCCAGACCAAGTACCGGATCACAGCCACAGCGTCCCGCACCTGGAGGGGGGAAACAAAGAAGTGGGCTGAGGTGTGGTCAGAGTGTCAGCCAAAGCTCCCTGCTGTGGGATTTGGAGCTTTCAAAACAGGAGGATCTGATGGTCTATTTGATATCAAAGGATTCTCATTAATATTTATATCTAATCATAGTGTGCATGTTTTTAAGACCATTCTTATCTTTAGAGATATTTCCTGAAGTGTTGACAGTAGAAATGATATGATATGTGGGATTTATTCTAAAATAAGCCAGCAGCAATGGAGGTCACGTATGGGGTTTTTAGCTGGGTTATAGAAGAAACATATTTGGCCATGAGTTGATGAGTATTGAAGCTGGGTAATGGGGACCCAGGGGGTCATTATGTTATTTTCTCTATTATAAAGTATGTTGAAAATTTTCCCTAAAAAAGTTTTTTTTTTAATTTTTGAAGTGTTTTGTTCTATTTATTGTTTTTTGTTTCTTTAGACAGGGTCTCATTAAGTTGTTGAGGCTGGCCTCAAACTCATAGCAATCCTCCTGCCTTTGCCTTTTGTGTACTGAGATTACAGGTGTGTGCCACTGTGCTAAGCCCTATTTTACTCTGATTTTTTCAAGATTGTTCCAAAAGAAAATGAGCCATTCTCTTGCCAGGTTGAAGCAATAATTACAGGTAACACTTAGAATGTTCCATGCAGTGCTCAAAGCATTGTGTGTGTGATGTTTGAAAAATACAATAAAAGTTTAAATTAAAAAAATTATTACAAGGGCCAGGGATTTAGCTCAGCAGTTCGGTGGCCTGTCTTGCAAGTGCAAGGACCCGAGTTCAATCCCCGGTACCAAAAAAAAAAAAAATTATTACTGTAAAAGACACATTGCCATTAATTCCCTCAGTATGCTACCTCTCACTATGAGCACATTTTCCCCATCATTCTTGCTACTTTCTGAAGCAGTTCTGGAAGTCCTCTATCATGAGTGTCTTGAGTTTAGCCATTGTGGTTGTCCTGATGTCTTGAATTGATTTAAAACTTTTCGCTTTCATGGTTATTCTGACTTTGGGGAAGACCCAGAAGTCATACAGTGATAGATTCACTGAATAAGGTAGATGAAAACACACAGGAATGTTTTTATGAGCCTGCCTTTCTGTTGGATGGCACTTGGCAGCAGCACCCACATTATTATTATTATTTTTTTTTCTTTTGGGTACTGGGAATTGAACTCTGGTCCTTGTGCAGGTGGTATCTCCACTGAGCTAAATTCCTGGCCCAACAGCACCCACATTTTTTGTTTTTTTGAGACAGGGTCTCACTATGTAGTTGAGACTGACCTGGAACTCACTATGTAGCCCAGGCTGGACTCGAACTCACAGTGATTCTCCTGCTTCAGCCTCCCTAGTGCTGGGATTACAGGCATGAGCCACCATGCCCAGCTCGGCAATGTATCTTTTTTTTCTTTTTATTGAGTTTATTGGTACATTTTAGGTATACAGTACAGTTACCTTAATCATTGGGCTATTGTACCCTTACATGACAGGTCTTGGTTCTCTTTTTTTCCCCTTGTCCCTGCCCTCCCTTCACCCTCTCCTACCTTCCCCATTCTGGGATTACAGGCATGAGCCACCATGCCCAGCTCGGCAATGTATCTTTTTTTTCTTTTTATTGAGTTTATTGGTACATTTTAGGTATACAGTACAGTTACCTTAATCATTGGGCTATTGTACCCTTACATGACAGGTCTTGGTTCTCTTTTTTTCCCCTTGTCCCTGCCCTCCCTTCACCCTCTCCTACCTTCCCCATTTACAAACACTCTTTATCCATCTTTTCATTTTCTCACATTTTTTTCAGTATCTTTTACTATAATACATTTTTAAAATGTAAACATTCATGGTGTATTTTGATCACCCTCTGTGTATATGTATATATATATATATTTTTTTTTTCCATTGAAACTTCACGTCAATTGTATATTGTAAGATTACTATTTTGATCCCCCTTACCTTACTAATGAAGTAACTGAGGCCTAGAAAAGTGATTAGCTAGGAGGTAGGTGGCACTGGGGTTGGAACTCAGAACCTTTACCTCTCAGGTCTGCATTTTAAACCACTACACAATACTGGATGTGAGAGGCTAAGGGGCAGGGTGCTTCCCAGGAGTTTGTTGTCTGCTCCTTTGTTTCAGTGAGGGTCTCTTCAGCTCTGGAAGGCTTTGCAAAAGCTACGGAAGGCTTTCTTCTCTAACCCATCAGACCAGGAGCTGCCAAGAGGCTATGTCTGCCTGCACATGGACTTACATGGCTGGCCTTGAGGAGGGCTTGCTCCTTGCTGTTCTTCACCGCCTTGGTCATCATCACTGGGGAGTAGGCATCTGCCACGAGTTTCTCCTGTTGGGAACAAGGAAGAAGAGGAGGGCTGGGAGCACCCTGCAGGGCACAGTAGCGTTTTCTAGAACTGCCAGGAAGTCCCAGATGAGGTGAGACTTGCTGTTCCTTGTTGTGGCAATGCCTTCTCCTTCTGGTGCTCTCTGGCTATACATCCTTCCTAGTCTTCAGTGTCCAGGTTAATCTTCCCATCTGCCCTCTTTCCCTCCCTCCATCCCTCCTGGCAGGCTTCCTTGATTTAACACTGTCCAGTTGGACATCTCACTGCCATGAGCACTCTGGAATGGCTCAGATCCTAGCCTGCATCAGATGATGAGCTGTTCTGACAATGTGAATTTCCTGTCCATATTATAGAGAGCACCCACCCTTGTGTCAGCCACTGGGCTTGTTGTGTCCCATCTCCTTTAAACCTCAGAGCAGTTCCTATGAGGCGGGACTCTTGCCATTTTCTAGGCAATGAAACAGAGACCAAGGTCAACTGCACAGCCAGTTAGGAGCAGAGCAGAGATTCAGTGTCAGGTTCTGCTGACCAGGCCATGTTCTCTAGCCTCCTCCACAACCGTATGAGTTTCCCATGGACAAACATACTTGCTTCCTCCTCTTCTGCCTCTTCCCAGAGAGGCCTAGAAGGGAACACACTGCACATTTGCCTGTTGACCAGCAGACTGAATGGTTGAGCAGGGGTCAGTACCTGGCATGGGCTAGGGCCCTGCAAACCCACCTCGGGTATCACTTCATAGAGCCCATACATGGTATATTGGGCCCCAATCCAGATCCGCACATCTCCTGAGACATAGGCCTGGACGCTGTCACGAATTTGGTTGTAGTCTTCAAGTTGCACACACATGGACTCTATGCAGCCAGAGTTCAGGTACTGCAGGGTCTCAGGACTAAAGCGACTCTTGTTTACAAATAACCTGGGCGGGGAAGGAAGACCGGGAGGGTCCCAATTGTCTGCTAAGGACAACGCAAAGAACCAGAGGCACATATAGTTCTTTTGCTCCTGAAGCCAGCATAAGGAACCAAGCAGCCCAAATTTGGAATTGCTTGGAAGCAGAGGTCAGAGGCTTAGGAGAAGCCAACAGAAGGCAAGAATGAAGAAATGTCCTTCTGCGGCAGGTGCCAAGCTCAAGGGCAGCCCAAGGACTGTCTATTGGGGTGGAATCCGTGGTGGGGCAATGGGAGGGTGGGAGTTGGAGGAAGTTCACAACACAAGCCAAGGAAAAGCCGTACTTGATGGAAGAGTTCGTGAGCAGAGTGTAGGAATAGAAGAAGGGGTTATAGGTGATGTCACTGCTGCGAAGGTTGAAGAGCCCTGGGAAGAGAATCGGTGGGGACCATTTGAGGTTGATCTGCCTGGGAGAAAGCATTTTTGACACCTTTGCCCCACTGTTTGCATTGGCCCCAAACAATCGCCAGCGGCACATTTGTAGCATCTGCCTCTGGATGTCTCTCAGTCTTTCGGGGGAGATATATGAGATGTTGATGAGTACTGTAAAATTCTCCCCTAGAAGAATGCAGATACCTACAGTGAGCACACAATAGGTATGAGCTGCTGCTCCCTTACCCTTCTTGGTTCCCCCCGGCTACTATTACTAAAGCTCACAACTGCTTGGAATATGGTTGTCTGGGGGGAGGGCTCTGTGCTTTGGGGCCCAGAAGACTTGGGGAGGGTGTGGCCCCCACCCACGTGCACAAAGCCACACTCACAGGCCGTCTCATCAAGGGCTGTCAGAAGGACAGCAGTCGGGGCCTTGCTATGCTTCTGCATCTGACTTCGAATGTCGGATACTTTGTCCTGCCAAGTGCTCCCTAGAAGCAAAGATGCCCACAGAAACGGTAAGTGACACACCTTCCATTTGGCACTTGGTTCCCTTAAGGTAATGCCTTTCCATTTCTTAAAAAGCAGTAGCAACCTTTCTTCAAACAAACTTTTACTCATATAGTCATTAATAACATGGGTTCTGGACCCAGACTGGGCTTAAATCCTAGCTTTGCCATTACTGGCTGGGTGACCGGGGACAAATTGTTTACCCTCTGTGTCTCCTTTCGTGCATCTGTAAAACAAGGATGGAATACAATAATATTTTCTAACCTCAACAGGGTTGATGTGAGGCTCAAATGAGTATTTGTAAAGCATGTAGCAAGGTGTCCTGGTATTCTGGTATAGCCTTCTCACCCATAAATAAACATGCAGAAAGCGATCAGGAGAGCTGTCCTAGTTGAAGGGCAAAGGGAGAGGCCTGGGACCATGTTCAACTCTCCCCTGCAGTAATCCCAATACTTAAGCCACAGGTATTAGTCTAACTAAACTCTTCATGTACACTGTCTTAAGTCTCACTTGGCCCCATTTTAGAGATAAGAAAAGTGAGCCTTTCGAGAGACAAAGTGACTTGTCTTCGGTTTCATAGCTGCAAGGAGAGAAGCTGGGATTTGAAACCAGGTTTTGTCTGGCTACACGGTTCAAACTACTAATCTGTGCAGACACTGTACTGTCTTGATAACATCATCAACCTCCAAACCTGTCCTTCCACCTGGTGTCACAGTGTTGTCCTCTCTAGGATACTTGTATCTAGGATTTCAGTTTGTACCTTCTATCCTGTACCCTGCAAGACATGTGGTCTACTTTCTATTCCCAGGAGTTGAGAGGCTAAGGCAAGAGCATCACAAGTTTGAGTCCCACATGGCTAACTTAGTGAGACCAGTTCTCAAAACAAACAAACAAAAAAACCCAAAAGGACTGAGGATATAGCTCATGGTGAAGGCCCTGGCTCAATTCCCAGTACTTAAAAAAAAAGTCTGTCTTTAGGTAATACTAGGAAATGTTTTGGTACAGAAGATCATAAGCATTAAGAATCCTGCTTGGGCCCAGATACAAGCATAAATGATAACTTAATGCCATTACAAACTTTATGCAAACAGATAAAACTGTTCAACAAGAACCCAAGCTTTGGGTAAATCTTTTTTTTAAGGATTATTTTATTGTTGTAAGATAGGCATAACAAAATTTAGCACTTCAGTCATTTCAAAGGGCACAGATCAGCTGGCTTTAAATATGGTTCACAATGTTGTGTAAGCATCACTACTATCTGTAGAACATTTTCATCATTCCAAAAGGAAACCTTGGACCTATTAATGACCCCATTCCCCCTTCCTTCCAGACCCAAGAAATCACTAATCTTTCTGTCTCTATGGATTTAGCAATGCTAGATAGTTCATATAAATGGAATCATACAACATGTGGCCTTCTCTAACTGGCTTCTTAGAATTATGTTTTAAAGATTCGCAAACACAACACATCTTTGAGAAAACATAAAAAACAAAAAAAAATTTTTTTTTTTTGGCATCGGGGATCGAGCTCGGATCCTTGCGCTTGCGAGGCAGGTGCCAGAACCACTGAGCTAAATTCCCAGCCCCTAGAAACCAAATTTGAATGGTCGATGCACACAGCTACCTTTGAGTACTTAACACCCCCCCCCCATTAAGTTTATTGGTACGTTTATAGCCAACAGTACAGTTACATTTATCATTGGCATCTTATACCTTTGCATGACAGATCTTGGTTCTTATTTTTTTCCCCATTCCCCTGTCCACCCTTCACCCTCTTCTCCCGCTTCACCCTTCCCTACTTACAAAGACTTTGTTTCTATTTTTTTCTTTTCCCTTATTTCCTTTTCCCTCCCCTTCCCACTTGTACGTTTATAGCCAACAGTACAGTTACATTTATCATTGGCATCTTATACCTTTGCATGACAGATCTTGGTTCTTATTTTTTTCCCCATTCCCCTGTCCACCCTTCACCCTCTTCACCCGCTTCACCCTTCCCTACTTACAAAGACTTTGTTTCTATTTTTTTCTTTTCCCTTATTTCCTTTTCCCTCCCCTTCCCACTTCCCTGAGTAGTTAACTTTGCATGTTCTATTCTTTGTCCCTGCCCCTGTACCCTTCCTTTAAAATCTGCAACCTAAAAGTTTTCTTCCTGAAGCTGAACTCTCATCCTGGGCCTCCAAGGCCCAATTCTGGCTCCAGATAGTTTTTCTTTAAAGACTGGCATCCTGTGATGCCTTGGCATCCCCTCATTCGTGGGAAGTGACAAAACCCATATGAATGTGTCCCGAGCCCTGGTAGAAGTTTTCTGTTTATCCCTGCTGTTTCCTGGCACATTTGTGGCCTTCTTTATCTCAGTAAGATGAGTTTATTTATGATTATTCTTGGACAGCAAGTTTCTTTTAAAACTGTCAAGATGCAGAGAGAATGATTCTGCAAGTTACATTGGAACACATAAAGAGAACCAGACACAAGTTGCACTACTTTCATCATAGTTACAATTCTGAAATTTCTCTCCTACTCTTTTGACTCCTTTCCAAACCAGAAACATATATGGACTCGCATGTGGAAAGGGGCCTTTCAGACTGCCCAGTGTGACTAGGAATCCAAGCCTATCGGCTCTCTTAGGATCCCCAGAGAAGTAGGGGTTGCTGGTAGCCAAGATGCTCCTTCATAATGAGTAAACTGGCCCCTAGTCGGGATTTTAGTTATCACTTACAAGAATCATAGCTCATACTGATCTTTTATGGTGTAATATTTAGATGGTGTCTATGAGGTCAAGGTTAGGATTTTCTAGGTTGGTTAATTTTCCTTTGTGGTCTAACCAAAACCTGAGTCCTCATTTGTGTCACACACTGACCCTGCACGTATTTACTTTCTCTGTCTACCCCAGGCATCTCACAAATCTAAATATCTCACCACAGGATGGTCAGAAGGAAAGGGATGAATGATTCAACACGAGCCAGTCTCCATTACCAGACAAGCAATGGATGTCATGTGTTTTCTCTCCTCAGAGGGTTTTGTTGCCTCTTTCTCTGACTCTCCTGTTTCCTCCCTTCCCCCTGCCTTTTGCTTTAAATCCTGACATTCTTTATTTCAGAATTTTCTAAATATGGTCTGGGGGCCTTCAGATGAAGACTCTCTGTGGAGAGAGGGTCCCCAAAATGTGCCTTTTCACCAAGCATCTCAGGAAACTTGGGTGCTTGCTAAACTTTGCAAACCATTGTTTTGGTACCTCTGATGGTGCCTTTTCAGGCAAAGGAGAGCAATAGTAGCCCATGTTAGTGGGGACCTATGTTGGTACAAATTGGAAAGGAGAATGGGCTTGCTGAATCACCTGTGAATGCTGTTTCCAAGGCATAGATGGGTTCACTCGGCACCGGGGGCCTCTCTGAGCCCCATACCAGGTCGACAAGATTGGTTGTGATGGACACCAGCTGTATGTTGGAGTCCTGGAGGTTCGTGTCATAATAGTTCCAGGAGTCTGTGGAGACAGGAAGGAGTCACTTGCCCCTTGCCCATTTATGCCTCAGGAAAACCTGTGGCTCAAATAAAACTAGTCTTGCTACTAGTTGACCCAGTTCCACCACTATAGCTGCAGCTGCCCCAAACCTGTCCCAGCAATCTGGACCTTCTGTAAGGTGTGTGCCCCATAATGGATCTGTGTCTCTCCTCTTTGTGCTTTCCAAGTTGAGATATCCTTAGCCTGCTTCAATGCTATTCACCAACAATTGGCTAATATTGTCTTTTTAAGTGCCAATGGCTGGGGGTAGTTCCTATCATGGGTACTGTTTTCACCAGGATTTCATGTTATGGTTCAAAAGAATGGTGATGTTCAGGCCACTGGACAGCCTAGCAAAGAAGTCAGTTCAGAAGTAGGAACCTCTCAGTGCATATTCATGAGGATTCTACCTTTGAGTCAACGGGCAGAACAGTTAGCTGGGGCTCAGAATTCAGCAAGCTGTATTCCTTCCCAAATCTTTTGACCCTTCAAAGCTACTTTCCAAAAGAGGACTTCCAAGTGATTCTGAGTACCATCCCTGAGTAGTTTCAGGACACAGGGGGTGGTTCCAGGTTCAAGGACAACTAGGTCTATTCATGTACTAGATATTAATGATCCTCTGCCTTCCAGGTTGGCTTTCTGCACTTGTGACTTTTAAAAAAATTTTTGTATGCATTCTTTTCACATTTATAAATTACAAAATGAATCTGTCTTTATTGCAAAATATTCTGCAACCACTTTAGCTTCACGGTCACATTGCCCCTCCTTCTAAGAGAGTGTTTCTTCACCTTCTAGGGAAGCTGAGCCATACTTGTTGGCGAGGACCAATTCAAGGAATTGAAGGAAGGACATACCTACAGAGATGAGGAAGGGGTCAAAGCCCACCTGTCCTCCAGCAGGAATCTCAGCCAGGAGCCAGGTGACGATAAAAGTAATACCAACTGAAAGACAGAAGGAGTTCATAGGCAGCTTGTGAGGCCAGCCTCAGGCCCTCTAGCCAGGCTACTGCCTGTGACCATCCTACCACATATGTGCTTGCTGGGGACAAAATCACGTGGCTCTCTACCTTCTTTATGGAGATCCCAGTTGCAGTCCATCTCCCGCTCCGCCTGAGTCCAGTAGCGACTATCAGTCCAGACAGCTGCTTTCCCAATAGTCACTACTGCAATCCCTGGGGCACAACAGGAAAACTTGGAGGTGAGGTGAAGGCGAGGAGCATAGCTTTAGATGGTGGATGTGTGATAAAGTGTGGGCTCTGAGAGTGTCACAAGTTGCCTCTAGAAAGTTTGTCTCCTCCACTGGAAGGCAGTGAGGCAGGAAATGTCAAAGACAGCCATGGGGGGAGGGGTCAGGGATTTAGCTCAGTGGCATCACACCTGCAGTGCAAGGTCCTGAGTTTGATACTCTGTACGGTGGTGGTGCGTGTGTATGTGGGAGTCTTGGGGGGACCTGGCAGAAGGAGCATCCTGAGGCAGGCCTCTGCTTTGGGTTGAGGGCCTCTCAAGGAGGTCATCAGGGCTTTTGGCAGGAAACGATAGGGTCTGTTTTGGCTAGCCCCAAAGAACTGATGCTGTAAGTAGATGCTTCTAGGAAAGATGAGATTTGATGTCAAGACTTGGTGGCTGACAGGGACACTAAAACAGAGGCTTAGCTGAGGATTGGAGGAGAAGACAAATCCAGCAACTTTTGCAAAGAAATAAGGCTTATGATGGGCAAAGGAGGACAGGTTGGGGCTCAAGAAAGCATGTTAGAGGATCAACAAAGAAGGCTTAGATTGCATTTAAGGGGACACGGTCAGATGTCCCTTCTGACACTGGGACATCATTATGGGTCTCTTTCTACCAAGTAAAGTGATCTTGTCTGTAAAAACACCTGCAAGTGAAACTTTACCCTCAAATGAGCCATCAGGTGAAGGGAAGAATGGGTCCATAAGTAGCAACTGTCTCAGAAATGGAGCCCAAGGAGTGCTGGGCTGGGCCTGGCTGTAGCAGAGGCAGTGAGCATGGCAAGGAAGCCAGGAGGGCCTCTGCATCCTTTCTGTACAGAAAGGTGGCCTCTGTTCTTTGAGAGATGTTGGTGTCTGGGTGTCAGAGAAGATAGGGACAGGGAGAAAAGAAGGGGATTCTGGATCCTAGATGCTGGGGTCCTGCCTGCTAAGGAGTGAGCTATGTCAAGTACAGTCCAGCCACCTCTGGTGTGCCACGAGAAGCAAGGAGTGGAGGTAATGGCTGTCACCTGCAGTCCCCTTGAAGCCTGTAATCCATGCACGCCTCTCATCGTGTTTGCCAATGTATTCACTCTAGGAAATCAACAATATCAGAATTATTAGCCTTTTTTATGAAGTCATATGCCACGTGGAAGGCCCCTAACCACATCCCAGTCTTTTTCTTTCTGGTCAGCTGCTACCAATCCCAAATGGCTAAGCATACTTGGCACCTCCTTTTTTATTTTTAGAAAGATTCCATATTTCAAAATTTTATTTATTTATTTAATCCCATTCCCCTCCTTAAGGCCCCTCTCCTCTCTGTACGTGGCACGTCTTTCAGGAAGCCCTCTCTAACTGCCCCAGCCCACTCTCTTCCCTTCCTTTGAACTCTTGGAGTGTCAACCTCACAGTCCAACACTGCACTCAGGGTTATACTGGATTATTCTGTAAAGGAGTTTTTGTCACCTTGCAAATTCTGTGTAGTCTAGGGTCATGTCATTTGGTTCTGCCCTCTAGATATCTCCTCTTCCTCCCAGTTCTCCAGTTCACTACATACATCATGAATTACTTCTACTTATTGTCCAGTCAGACCTCTGTATCTATCCATGGATTCCGCATCTGCTGCTTCACCTACTCACAGGTTAAACTATTTTTTAAAAACTGTGTTTCTGCTGAATATGTAAAGACTTTTCCCTTTATTGTTATTCCTTAAATAACAGAGTATGACATCCATTTGCCTTGTATTAGGTTAATAAATAAGCTTGAGAAGATGTCAAGTATATGGAAGAATGTGCATGGATTATGTGCAAAAATCACAGCATTTTATGTAAGGGACTTGAGCATCCACTCATTTGGGTATCTATGGGGTTCTGAAGCCAATCCTTTATGGATAACACGGGATGGCTATATATTGCTCTTCATAATCCCTGGAGACAGATCTCAGTATTTCTGTCTGGCAAAAGAGAAAACTGAGGATCAGAGCAGTTCAGATATTTATTTGAGGTTCTTAGCCTTCCCCAGCAGGTAAGAAAACTAATTCAAGCGAGCTGATTGGCACTGAAAATGCTTTCTCTTCCAATTGGGCTGGTGCTGGGAAGGGGGATGAGTGGGCAGGGGTGCTGCTTTGGCAAAAGGAGTTCTTCAGGCCATCTTGTTTCCTGTTTGCACACACACTCTATCCCCCACACTAGCATAGTCAAGACTCTGGATCATCTCCCTGCTCCATCCAGCAGGCTATGGGAAGGCCTGGGCTACAGTCCAATTCCCAGTCTCCATTCTAACCTCCTAGGGCAGGGATGCCCTCAACACTCCTTCTGGATCTACCCCCTGGGAACTGATCAGAACTGGTTCCGAAGTTGTTTTAAAGTTCCATTTCTTGAGGTCGGAGAGTGTTCGCTATGTCTTCCCTCCGATGTAAAGGAATATATTCTTCCAGTTGCCCTAAAACTACTGTGTGTGAGCTCTTCACTTGTCTTTTTGCCTATCAGATTCTTCCTTTGCCTTCATCTTCTGAGTTTTAGCCCTTTTGTGCCTGTATTTATAGGCCAACCCAGGGGCAGTGGCAAGGGCAAGGGGGAGAGGAGCAGTCCATCACCTTGTGGGCATCCGTGTCTGGGATGATGTAGGCAGAGAGATTCCAGGCCTGTATCTGTTGGCGGAGGGCTGAGAGACGTGCTGTGGTATTGACCGCAGTAACTGGAAGGTGCTAACAGGTGACAGGAACACACCCAAACACACACATTGCTTAGAGAAAACGACACCTCCACCCCTCTCCCACCATCAACACCACAGCTTTCAGAGGAGCCGCCAGCTCATCTTGAGACAGGGTTGAGGGTGGTTAGCCTGGCTGGTCCAGGGTGGGATGAGGGATGCAGCTGATGTTCCAGTAGGCCTACATTAAGATGTCTGTGCTGAGCATAGATGGAAGTGTAGCTTGGAGAAGGACTCTTTGGGACAGTAATGGCGCTGTAGTCTGGGAAGAGGGTATGGGTGAGCACTGCAGGGTCTGAGCTCTGGCACTGGCCCGGATAATGGGGACAGTCCCACTTGGGCTATCTTGAGGTAGAGTTGCCAGGTTCAGCAAATAAAGATGCAGGACACTCATCCAATTACATTTGACTTTCAGATAAACACTAAGTGATGTTTTAATGTAAGTATGTCCCCTGTTGTATTTGGGGCATATTTAGATGAAATACTGTTTATCATCTGAAATTCAAATGTAACAGAGTGTCCTGTATTTTATCTGGCAAGCCTTCCTTGGGCGCTTTTTCTAGTGGTTCCTCACTGGTCCCAAATGGCAGAGGACACTGAATAAGTACCTCCCATCAGAGTGAGATTTTGGAAGAAGAGATTCCCTCCAAGCCTGATACTTCTTCAAAGGCCATTTTATCTTTCAAATGAAAAGCATGTTTGTTTGTCTTGTTTTGTTTTGTACTCAAAGATCTATCCAAGGTTGTTTTAATATAAAGGCGATGAGCTTGCCCACCCATCTGCCTAACCTAATAGTCCTATAAAGTTGACACGGCACATAGATGTGCTGTGCTTATCCTGAGGCTTGGGGTGCTCACACACCCGCTCTCCTCCTCATACTTCGTGGCCTAGAGGCCTCCCTCTCTTGCACTTCTAGCCCACTGACTTCCTTCCTCCTCCCTTCTGTGCTTCCCTTTTCGCTGTTCCCCTAGAATGTTTCTTTCCTCGCAGCCTTTGGCCTAGCTACTGCTGAACCTCAGCCAAAGACCAGCTGGAGATGCCCCCCCCCCCCCCGCACCTCCCTTCCCAGGCGGGGGTGCGGGTGGTGGGTGGGGCGGGACTTTCCAGGCCCTAGGGCGAGAATAGAGAGCCGAAATAGAAAAGTGGGGACACAGGGCCAGGATTTAGCTCAGCGGTGTCGCCGCCTGCCTCACAAGTGAAAGGTCTGGATCCCGGACAAGAAAAAGAAAGTGGGGACTCAATAAGGGGCCGGGTCTGTTAGACGCATTATACAATTGCCCAACCAGACTGATGCATCTTAACAAGAAACAGGGGGCCCAGATTCGGAAATCGTTGGGGGGGAAAGCCTATAGGTGGAGGGTCTAGTAATGGGGGGGGATGGAAAGGACGAGGGGGCGGGTCCGCATGCCGGGGCGGGGCCATGCCTGGTGGCCCCAAAGCCTCACCGGAGGGTTGGCCGAACAGTTTCTCACATCTTCTCTTCCAAGGTACCCTGGCTTTGGGTGGCTCCAGGCACAAGCTAGAAACCAGGAAAAGCATCCAGATTATTTGGGGACCAGAGAGATCTCAGAGAGCAGGGATATCCTCCTTCAGTCCCCTCCCCCACTGCGTGGGCCCTCCATCCTTTGAAACACACCCTCTCTACTTGAGGTTAAAAATAATCTTATTTAATGGGAAATCAGGCTGAACTGGATGGCACCCTGGGTCACAACCAAAGACACTAGTTTCATCGACTAGTGATTGCCACTTTTGGATGGGTTTAGTGCTCATTGTATCAATTTTTCCTCTAATCTAATTGGGTCTTTTCAGGGTCTAGTGAAGTGGAAAAGTTGTATGCAAATTAAATTTTTGTAATCAAATTTTCTTTGAAATGCTCTGGAGGACCTCGCTAGATAATGCCTCCACCTTCTTTTTAGCTTTCTAAAAATCTAATTTTATGTATTGTGTTGACTTAAATTCAAGGCCCGTGCATGCCATTTTTATAATCCAAATCTCTGCACGTTGTTCCAGGCACATTGTAAATATAGAAATCAGCAATCCTAGTCCAGCATGGCGGCCTGGCGGGGAAAGCAAATTAGCATGTAAAGAGCTCTGACTTGGTGCCAGTTATCCGGCTCAGCAATAGGTACGTCTATTGCATCGTCATGTGCTGCATGATGACGTTGTAGCCAAAAGAGGCTGCATATGTGACAGTATTATAGCATATAGTGATCTCCTAGCCATCTTCGTTTGTGTGAGTCAAGCCATGATGTTTGTGCAGTGACAAAACTGCCTAATGGCACACTTTTCTGAACTTGTCCCCATCATTAAGCAATGCACACTTGTATCTCATTTGATACTTGGAACAACCCTACCTGGGCAACACTGTTCTCTTTCTACAGAGGAGGAAGCCAAGGCCCAGATAGGTTTGGTAACTTGCGCTTGTTTTGTCATAAGAGTCAGTAGTCAAATGGGGATTTGAACTTAGGCCATTGGAATATAAAACAAGAGTGTGGTAGAGCTCTATAGTCTTTTTCCCCACCCAGTGCATTTTAGGGGGTGTTTCCCTAGAGGGACAAGAAGGTTTAAGTATTGGGAGCCACTATATTTTTTTTATCTCTGAGGTGAGATAGAAGGAGGGTGGCTTGAACTAACACCTTGCCTGCAGGATACCTTGCCTGGATGTCTTAGTCTCATAAACTCAAAGAGGAGATGAAACTTACACTGTTGATTTAAGAAAATAAATATCCATTTGTGTAGCAAGATGGTGGTGCTAAGATGTCAACCTAAGAATCAGGACGCAGCTAACCCATGTCCTTCTGGACACAAGGATCTGCTGTTCTCTGAGGCCTGGGTTGTGGCTTCCAGGAGCAGGCTGTGCAGCCAAATCACTCTGTGGTCCCTAGCATAGGGCCAGGCACTGGGGAGGTCCTCAGGAATTGGATGTTGAATTAATGAGCAGGGCCCTGCTGACAGAGCAAAGGGGAGACTGGGTGAGTTGAGCTGGGCACCTGTTTGAAGACAAACGGGGCACTGCATGGGCAAGAAAGATGCTCCTTGACCAAACTTCATGTAGGCTCCTCTGAGGTATTTTCTTGACAAGGGCTCAACCTTGGCCTTTTGTGTCTGTGTTCTCCTTGTAGGCCTGCATTACCTTGTCTTGGCAAGAATCCCGTCAGTCCAGTTTAGAGGAACCCTTGATATCTTATCAACCCCAATATCTGATTAGATTTCTCATGCCCCACCCTTGATATCTGATCACCCTGGCCTGCCTTTTCAAGAATCCCACTATTCTCGGTGATTTCTCTGGGTGACTCCTAGTACCTTTCTGTGCATTGATCCCCCAACTGTGCTCGTTGGCTATAAATCCCCAGTGGTCTTTGCTGTCTCTCCTGCAGCACAGTGCCCATTGCAATAGCTTTCAATAAAGTCTTCCTTATCTTCTAACCAGGGTCACAATACTTTTGTCATTAACAGGAGGGGATAGGAAGGTGCCAAACTACATCTGATACAAGCCACAAGGACCTTGAAGACTGGCCCTCATGAATCCTCTTCCTCAAGACAGACAAGACGACCAAGAGACAGAGACAACCTAGATCCCAGCCCTCACTCCAACCCTTCCTGAGCCCAGAGGGAACAGGCCAGAGCCGCTCTCCAAGGCAGACTAAGGTGCACCTACCACAGAGGAGGACAAGCCAGGGGCAGCAACCACAGAGAGCTTGGGCCATGGGGTCTCCTGATGTCAGCGCTGAGTGAGTGGAGGGACTGGGAGAAAGGGCAGGTCTGTTTCTCCTGTCTCTTCCTCCAGCCTTTCCTGGGCAGCAGCAGACAGAGGTGGGGCTGGTGATGGGGAGGACGAGTCCAGCTGTTGGATGGAGAATCCCCGTCTGGTCTTTTGTTTCAGAAGTTTCTGGAAGCCACAGTGGGCAGAGGAACCTTGGGCTGTCTCAGGGAACCTGTGCAGGCTCCTTGTAGTTTGGAGTACACTGTGAGCCTGCTCCGGGCAGAGTCCAAAGATCTCTGAGATTGAAGAGCAACAGCTGTTCTCAATCAGCCTGAGTGTCCCAGCCCCCTCTTCATAAGCTCTGCCCCTGCCATTCCTGAATTCTGTCCCCCTCCCTCCTGCAAGCTGTTTCCTATTAGCTCCCCCTTATGGAGCTCTGGGTACAGCCCTGTCTTTGCTTTGGGATGGATATTGGTCCCTCCTTCTTCTCCTCCCCTGAGCTGGCCATTCCCAGAAAGTCAGTGATCTCTCTCTCTCTCACTCTCTCTCTCTCTCTCTCTCTCTCTCTCTCTCTGACAGGGAAGCCCCACTGTAGCCTTTAGGGAAGGTGATTGGAGCTTCAGGGTTACTTGCTTGAACTGGTTTGAGTTCTTCCAGAAGAGACCATTCCACAAAGCTGACTGCAGCTCTCCTTTGAGGATCCTCTGAGTTTCATTTGGCTGTGTGTTCTGTGCTCTGCAAATCCACACTGCTTAAAGTCCAAAGTCCATTCACACCAGGGAGGGAATGGAAATCGAAATCATCTTGATTTGGAAGAATCAGGGGATGATGCTCCTGAGGAGGGAAGAAGACCCAGAAAGCAGTTTGGGGGCTCTGAGAAGACCAATTCGGTTCACTGGAAATGACCTTTCTCCCGTAGTTTCTCATACAGGGATTGGTTACACTGCAGTGCAGGTCACTCTTAAAACAGCGTGACTTCCTGTGAGGGAAGTGGAGACACTGAAGACTTGTCCTCGCACCTGGCTACCTCAGAGAGTACTAGGCAGCACCAGCGGCAAGTCGGCTCTCAGTTCACCTCTCTAGAACCTCTGGGCTCAGGCAAGAAACAGACCAGAAAGGAATGCTTCCACTAGACAGACCTGTGCTCACCGTGGTTGGGTGCTCACCTATCCTGCAGGCCAGAGGCAGGCTTCCCGTTCCTTCTGATTACTTATAATGTATTTACTCTTTGCTTACATCTGCATTCAGTTTAAGGCAGCTTTCAAGAACAGTTCATTCAAAAACTACAATGAAGGCCATCTTGTGGAAAGAAAGAGGACTTTTCATGGACTCCCTGGCAGGCCAGGTAGAGCTGAATGAGTACTCTACCTTCGGAAATAAAAGCAGAGGGCAGAAGTTCTTTGCCTCAGAAGGCAGGCCAGGAAGCTCTTATTGTGTCCCTGTTCCCTCCCTTCTACCCCTTCCAGAACTGATGATGAAGTTGTTCCCAGAGAGCCAGGAAGATGCTCCCTCATAGGCCCTTGCCTCCTCTGTGTGTTGGATTAGCCATACTGAAGGGCCATCAGATAGAGTTTATGGGGTGATGCAGAGGAGGGACCCAAAGGCAGCCTTCAGGGACAAACACAGCCCCGCCTCTTTGTTAGTGAGGCTAGGGACACCAGCTCAGGAGCCAGACTACCTGAATTTTAGTGCCAGCTCTTTCACTGTTTAGCTGCCTGGGCTTGGCCATGACCTTACCTCTCCGAGCTCTCAGTTTCTTCACCTGTGAAATGGGATCACCGCAACCATAAATTCTTAGGTGTGTGATGAGGATTAAATGGGTCAATGCTTGTGGAGTTCCTAGGACAAGCCTGGCAAAGTGGAAGGAGTAAATGCTATGTACGTGTTTATTAACACAAATCCATACCTTGAACCAAAGCGAGTCTCATCTATACCTTGTTCTTTTCATCCTTGGCGTTCCACACTGCTGAAACTGCAGTTACTGTTCTAGCACACATCAGCAGGGCCTCAGGGCCTTGAGAACCAGAAAAGTGCCCCCAGCGCCTGGACTCTGCCCATGGATGGTCTTCACAAAGCACAGAGCCTTCACATCCACCCCTTGGGTCCTCACCTTGGCCCCAGCAATGAGAATTGCCTGCTGCCTTCACCCTCAGCTCCTTTATCTCCTTATCTTGGAAGCATTGTCTTTATGCCTGTCAGTGGGGACTTGAACCCAAGTTGGCAACAAGAGGACTGAAGTGGAAAGAAATGATTCAGGACAGGGAGGGTGAATGGACAAGGGTCCTTATATGCAAGTTGTTTGGAAGACCTGTAAGTCACTGCAGTCCCACAGTGGCCTGTACAGGCAGCTGACCTCTACATGTTGACAATTTTTGGACCAAGGCAAGCTTAAAGGCCAAATTCTGAAATTGGAGATGTTGTTTTGCAAGGTTGCTTCCTCTTTTCTTGCACGCTGAACACATCTGAGACTTGTTGCTCTGACTCTCGACCTGGGTCTGCCCTCTTTGGCTGCCAATGCCTGCCTAACTTCCATCAGAATGCACCAAACCAAAGTGCACATTCTCCTGCCAGGTGACATCAGCTCGGGGTCTTGATCACAGCTCAGCTTACAATAACAATCTATCTGATGTGTGTGGATGAGAAAGTTGCATGTAAAGCAAGCAGCATTTGAGGAGCTCTAGCACCAGAGACACCAGCAGCTGTGCCGCGGGAGCCTCTGGGATAGCGGAAGTAGGAGGTGGGTAGGGAGCAGGAGGAGGTACAGGCAGCAGGCCAGAGCAGGAATGGCCAGCAGCCTGCTGCTCCAGGCAAGGCTGGCAGTCTGGGGCATGTTGGTAGCAACGCTATATAGAACAGCTTGCGGGAGCACAGGTGGGTTTGTGTCATGGCCTGGAATAGCCTGTGGTGGTGGGAAGTCTGAGTCCTGGGGGACTGTGAGGACTACCAAACACCCCTGGGAGTGTCCCAGGATACTGAGAGGAGGAAACAGTCAAAGAAGATCCACTGTCTTGCAGTTTGGAGGTGTGAAGGGGACTCAAGCTAGCACACTTCGGACCTAACTGCTGATGTGACCTCAGACTGGAGACTCTTGGCTTTGTGGACACCGCATGTGATTGTTTCTTCCAAACCCATTCATACTCTCCTGTTAGGCCTATCAACATGCTGGGAGACAAGTGGGGTCCTTGATGGTAGAAAGGGAAGCAGAGTCACAGAAGAATAGTGGCTTCGCACAGGCCCAAACTGACCCCTTGGCAGAGTGGGGACTCAAATCCAGATCTGGGGGACTTTGAACCCTGTGGTCCTTCCACTGGGCCCTACTCTCTTCCCCACCTGAAGTTCTTCTGTGGCTCTCACTTCCCTTAGCATTGAACTTAATCTCTGCAGCCCAGTGGCTAAAAAGCCTTCCTCCTTGATATGTCCTGTTGGCCATCACTTCTCGTTCATATTCTCCCCATCCATCAAAGTCTACCTCAAGAGTCACTTCGTCCATTAAGCCCTGACTGCCTCAAACTCATCTCTCCATCTCCTGTACATTTTGCTTGAGTATCCATTTTTAAAAGCCTTGCACAACCCCTTGGCTTTCTTGACTTGTTGCTGTGGATTAGATCTGGGGTGACCCCCAAAGCCTCATGTGTGTGTGTGGAGGATTGTTGGATCAAGCTATACCCATGAGTGGATTAATCCCCTGAAGGATTCAGAGATGAACGTGCTGTTGGAAGGTGGGGTCTGGTTGGAGGAGGCAAGTCACCCTCCCTGGCCAGCTCTTCCCTTTGCTCTGTGCTCCCTGACCACCAAGGACATGAGTAGTTTTTCTCCGAGGCAGGTCCATCCACTATGTTGTTTTTGTATTTGAGCCTGACAACCATGGACTGAGACTTCTGAAACTAAGCCAAAATAAACCTCTCATCCTTTAAGTCGTGGCTGTCTCATACTGTGTCTCTGCGATGAGGAAAGTTACAAAACAGAGCCCAGCAAAAAGTGGGATCAGTACAAGTGCATTGAGTTGACGATAAACCCCAGCAGTGTGAGGTTCAGCCTCTTCATCCCTCTCCTGAAAGGTGTGTGCTGAATGGGGGGCAATTTTCCAGCCCCAGAGAGCACATGTTGCTGTGTGTCCATTCCATCACATCTGCTGAAAAGCAACACTGTCACCCCATGTGTGTGTGTGTGTGTGTGTGTGTGTGTGTGTGTGTGTGTGTGTGGGGGGGCGGGGGAGAGGGGCAAGAGTTTGTTTCT